ACAACATGAACTTGCGCTGCAATAGATCAGGTGTGTGTTGGTTGGTTTTTTTCCCCCCCCTTCTGATTTTTGAGTCTTTAGGGTTCTGTTTTCCAACTTCTCTCTCCAAGCCTAAAGCCTAGAAATGTGTTTTTTTTTTTTTAAATGAAAGCTGAAATTTTCATATAATTACCTGACTCCAGGAGCTGGAGCTTTAAGAAAAAGACCAAATACTGTGACACTTTCTGTAAAAGTCATGAGAATTGGCAACACAGCACAGTGAGGAAACCTTTTTAAGGCGTTTCTAGAACCTTTGCCACTATTGTATTTAAGTGGCAGCATTATCTGGGATTTAGAACATTTTAAAGAAATTACATTTGGTCTCAACTTTAGTAAACATGCTTTCACGATGCAACTAAGTTTCCTTCCGGTTACAAAGATTATTGCTTGTTTGACTGAAAGGGGAAAAACAGCATCCAAGGCCCTGTTTAAATAGAGCAAGTGAAACTACGGGGATGACAGGACCGGGTGTTCACTCACCTACAGACATTCTCCTGTGTTTGTGGTGAAATCACATGCAAAGCTCCTAGTGAAGCCAAAGGGAAGTGTGTGTGTGTGTACATATGCAAGGGAAGTATTTGGCTCTAAGCAGGTGCAGAGTTTGGCACCTGATTGACTGTTCCACAAGGAAGTAGCCATGCTAACACTTAAGAATGCTGGGCCTAGTTCAACACTGCTTATTCAGCAGTATGAACTGGAGTATTTTCATGTGCGAAAGCAGCGGCTGTGTGTGTGTGGGGGGGCAGCAGGGATCTCTCAAGCAATTTTGGCTGTCTCGGGGGAATGCATGCTGGAGCAGGGGCTCTCATCACCCTTTTTTATGGTGCAGTGTGCATTACCCTACTGAATTGGGCCAGCAGCATGGAGGTGGGTGGAGGTGCTTTGGCTCTGCCTCACCAGGAGATCAGAATTCAACTGTCCTGTATTGTTCCCAAGCAGGGCCCAAGCCTGCCCCCAACTTCCTTATTTTCCGTTTCTAAGTACTTTAATTACATAAATGAAAATACTTTGGGCCTGATTCACTACTGTGGCATGCCTCCATTAGATCTGTATACACTGACCCAGCAACACTGATGGAGCTGAACCAGTGCAAACCCCTAGCGCACATCTGCAAACTGTGACTTGCTCTAATATCTTATTCTCGTTTCAAAGGAGTTGTGTTTTACTCTGATGCAGCACGTCTACAATAGGGGCTTACACTAGGGCAACTACATCACTGTTGCTCTTCCTGTACAACCAACTTCTGGTTTAGGCAGCGCCTGTCTGGTTCTCTAGTGTGACGTGCCTGGAACTCTGGTGGGGAAATCAGATGCACAAACTTTTTGTTTGCACCTTGCCAAGTACTAAACATGCATTCTTTGAAACTGTAGGCAGAGGAAATATATTTATCTCCCACCCACACATAATAACTGTAATGGGGTGTGATGGTATAAAATGGTGTATGTTTTAGCAACATCTACCCACGCTGCCTCTTTTCTGTGCCTTCTGGCACAGGTTTCTTTACTATGCCTGATGTTTCATCTGCTGCTTTTCTGGGAAAAAAAAGCACAAGGCCCCATTCAGCTGAAAACAGCTCCTACAGCTGCTGGCTCTGGGAGTTCTCTGGGCCTCTTGTGCTTCGCAGATGTTTAGTGCAGCTCTTATGGGAAAAATATCCCCTCTTCAGCAGCTCCAGAAGTGGTTACTAGACATCCCTTGCCCCTACCACTTCCACAGCACAGTCCTGGGACTCTACCTCTGGGCTCTTGTGAAAAAGTTTGGGGGTATCCACTGAGCATTTTCAGAGTTCCCCAGATCTCAGACTGTGGCAATGAATCCTTCCCCATCTAACCACATGGGTGTCAGCTTGGCAGGAGCTTTAGACAGGCCAAAGCCTTATCCTGCGTGGGCAGCAGGTCTGCTCCTGCCTGGGATCAGCTATGGAGGGAAAGTTATGCTAGTTATTCGTCTCTATTTGCCCTTATATTGACAGGGAGGTAGAGAGCAACAGCTATCAAATACTACTCCCTGGCTAAGCTCAAGTCAGAGAAGGACACTAAGGCCTAACACTACACAGTTAGGGGAATGTAAGGCAGCTTATGTTGACTAAATTATATCAGTGTATACACTACAGCCTTGTCCTGCTGAGGTAGTTGTCCTACGACACCGACAAACATACATGATATACACGAGAAGTGTATGACATATGTCAGTGTAGGAAGGTAGACACTGTGTCACCCTAACATCAGCTGTCTTGTCAATTTCATGGCTCCATACTGCTGCTGGAAGGCTCCCCAGCTCCCACCAAGAGCTGAGTAGGGAAGCTGAGCTCCAGGTGGGAGGGCTCTTAGCCTGCCACACTGCCCTCTTCAGTCAGGGGAAGTGCTCCTGGTGAGGACACGCATCACTGACAGAAGGAGGGTAGCGTGGACATCAGCCACCGCAGTAATTACTGAGCCGACTTTAAGTCAACCTAACATAGGTCAGTTTTGGGCTGTAGTGTAGACATGTCTAAGAGACTACGCCTGGTCCAGATATTTAAACCTGCCCATCCCTCTCCACTCCACACCCCCAAGAAATAAAGACTGTGAACCAGCCAGGTTCACTAACAGAAATTTCACAGAACAAATCACAGCAGTGAAACACTTATTCCCTCTGCTGTCAGGCAGACAGAGTAATCCAGCTGTGAGTGGGTGACTTGAGTGAAGCAAGAGCAAGGATTTGTTAACCACAGGAAACTGAGGGTTTATTTGCACCATTCAACCTCCCATGTTTTCCCAAGACTTGCATTGCACATTTGTTGTTCTGAGAGGAAGGTGTGGGGGGATATGGACTGAGTGGGCATGTCTACACTGCACACTAAGGTAGGGCGTCCATACACAAATCAATCTGACTTGGGTCAGCAACTGCTCGGGACATAGGTCTTAGGACCCTGCAAATGGGTTGGGTCAAAAACCAAGTCCCACTGAGACTCTGATCCAACACTTGTCATTTTGCACAGTACACACAGGTCAAGCTGCAGAGTGAAGCCAGGTCTCCATAGCACAATATGGATACATTAGCATGGCTGAGAGACCTGGGTTCAGCAATTGTAAACCCATGTTTAGAATGCAGTGTGGAAACACCAAGTCCGCAAACCTGGGACCCACAGACCCGGGCTTGATGTGCAGTGTAAACATAAGGCTTCTACTTGGCCTTTTTGACTAGCTTGGCCTTCACCGAGCTTGAATGCTGGACCCTCCAGAGCTTGCACGGTACAGAATTTCAGAAATTTTCAGCTGGATGGAACCTACACTGGAGCAAATGTACAAGAAGTATTTAATAACTATTAGAACAGATCCCTTTGAAATACCAAGGCAAAAAAAAATCTACAAGACAATATAGTTTTGAAATAATCAGAAAAATATGAAGTCAGAGAGGAAGTGTAGTTGAAAGTAATGCTATGTATGGAGGCTACACATTAATTCTATTCCAGACTGGGGGGGGGGGGGGGGGGGGGGGGAAGAAGGGAGATATTGTAAGCATGATAGAGTTAAGACCAAAAATGTTAGAATGGGGATGTTTAATCAGTGTATCTTCTCCTTGCAATTCATGTTTTCTGTTTATATGATACAGAGATGTTTTGAATACTTACTATAAAAGTGTCACTATAAATCAATAAAAAAGTGTACAGTAAAAACTTTTCATCAGGCATGTTGGGGAATGGGGGGTGCCAGTTAGTCAAAAATTCTGGTTAACTCAGTTATACTTACTAATGAAGGGAGTTTGGGTGTGGGAGGGGGCTCGGGGAAGGGGTACGGGAGGGGTTTCAGGGTGCCGGATCCAGGCAGCGCTCACCTGAGGTGGCTTCTTGCCAAGAGCGACACGTCCCTGCTGCTCCTAGGTGGAGGCCTGGTCAGGCGGCTCTGTGCGCTGCCTCCGCCCGCAGGTGCTGCCCCCACAGCTCGTGTTGGCCATGGTTCTCGGGCAATGGGAGCTGCGGAGCCAGCCCTTGGGGAAGGGGCAGCGCACAGATACCCCGTGGCTGTTCCTCCACCTAGGAGCAGCAGGGACATGTTTCTGGGGAGCCATGTGGAGCCAGGTAGGGAGCCTGCCAGCCCCACACCAACTGGACTTTTAATGGCCCGATCAGTGGTGCTGACCGGAGCCACCAGGGTCCCTTTTTGACCAGGTCTTCCATTCAAAAACTGGACACCTTGCAACCCTATAAAGATTGATATTGGGAGATATCAGAAATGCCGATTTCTAGAGATTTCCAGTTGGTAAAGTGCTGGATAACAGAGCTTTTACTGTACTTTGATAATTGCACTGTAACCTACACACAGAACTCATATTTAGCATTAAAAAGTTATCTGAAGCAAAGTTCATGCAGGACACTTAACTTAAACAGTATTATAGATAATACCTTACCAATTGCTTAACATGATGCATCCTAAGGAAACCATTCACTTTTCTATAGGTTACTACTATTATTATAGTGCCTAGTCACATCTGATATTTGCCTGCTGTATTTTTCCACCTTTAATGAGTCCCTCAGTAATTTCTTAGCTGTTGTACATTTGGGGGAGCATTTGTGATGGGTAGTAGAAACCCTATGAGGCCCCAAAAGTGGCTCCCCGATTGCCCCATATAGCAATGATTTCTTTATAACTTGATAGGAAGAGCATTTAACATTACACTGTACTTAATGAAGTTAGGATTTCCACAGGATGAGAGCTTCAAGCCTTTAGAACACTGTCCTGTAACAATATTTGCCATTTTACACTACATGTATATTATTTTATTCTCAGTGGTCTGAAGTCACAGGTTTACAGCCCAGTCCTGACAGGCGTGGAGCACTCTGGCCCTGATCCATCAAAAACACGCATGTCCTTAACGCTCAGCACGTGACTACTGATGCCCCATGCCTTAGAATTTCAGACAACAAACAATCATTGTAATGCACGTGGTGTATTGTTAAAATATTGATAGTTAGCCCTCACCTGTACTGCCCAGTGAAGAGCAGTTTTAAAGTCTTTGTCCACCAGAGTTGGATCTGCTCCTTTCTGCAGCAGGGTTTGCACATGCTGGGGCCGATTGTGGAAAGCAGCCCAGTGAAGGGCAGTCATTCCCTAAAAATCACAATCCAAGACAGTAAAGAATTATCATTCACAGAAAGATTTAAAATGTCAAAGAATTTAATTTTCCTTTTCACTAGAAATGAGTTTAGGGTGACCAGATGTCCCGATTTTGTAGGGACAGTGCTGATTTTTGGGTCTCTTATATAGGCTCCTATTACCCCCCACCGATTTTTCACATTTGCTGTCTGGTCACCCTAGATGAGTTGGGCAATTTGGAGATCGGAAATCCACCTGCTCAAGATTGAATAATTTGAAGTAGTTTCTGGCTTAATGGGGTTGTATAAAAAAAAGTAGCAGCCAATAAGAAAGGTTGACTACTATAGAAGACATACAAATATTAGATACATGCCTCTTTTATTAAAGTAATACATCAGTCAGAAGCATAATAGGTTCCTCGCATGTTAAAGTTGCATACAGTTCCCAATAGAAAGCCCTCTTTTAGGCTTGTGTTTTATCACAACACAACAGCCTTATCTCTAACTCATAATAATTACTATGGGTTAGCTTCTCAGCTGGTGTAAAGCAGTCTAGCCCCACTGACTTCAGTCTGGGTCGGCTGAGAAAGTGGGCCAGTTATTTTAACAGTAATCTCAAAATACAAACATCACAGGCACCATTTTGAAAAACAAAAAAAAAAACAACCACCAAACAATGAACGGAGAACTTGATTCTCTGCTCTATCGAAGCTGTCCTTATGCAGTGCAAACTGGTCTTAGCAGACCAAGAATCCACGTTGTATGGGCACATCAACCAACATCAAAAGCAAGTCCACATATACATTTTAAATCTATGTTACACACTTTTCCTATCAAGGTACCTAAGCAACATCAGTCTTAAGAAATATAATATAAGCACCATTCTTGTTTGGTGGCTTGTTATACACCCACTTTGCACAGGCATCAAGGACTACACAATGTGTGGAAATCAGTTCTGTGGTTTCTCTTAGTTTCCAAGAGGGTAAAAACCCAAATCATGTAGAATGGAAGAAAAATTAAAACTTCAAATAAAACTCCAAATGATGGTTGCCAATCAAGTCCAAATTCCTTAACATTAGTTTCTCTCTGCTCATCGGGTCTGGGCAGGGGTTGGGAATTCCAAATACTTGAGAGATCAGTTAAACCAGGTTTTGGTTATTTTGGTTTTGCAAAACTTCTTCACTGGGGCTTTGTTTTTTGTAAAACTAAAAAACCAGGGTTAAATCCAGCCCCATTTAAGTTAATGGGAGTCCCCCCGCCCCACCCCATCAACTTCAGTGGTGCCAGGAGTTCACCACAGGGACTGACACTGCTGATGGACACTGAATATCCTGGGACTCTTGACCTGCGGCACTACAGCAGTGTTTTCTGCCCTGAGAAGTGAGAGCGAAGCTAGTTCAGGGGAACAATGAGTCAGTGTAGCCAGGGCAAGCTACAGGACACCAGATCAGCCTCCTCTCATCCATTCGCTGATAAAAGTGGTAGGTGTCCCCTTGAAAAGTTACCCACCTCCCACTTTGGCCCCAATGAGCAGGCCCGCAGGCAGCAGCTCACCCATCCAAACTTCTGTGTTGCCATCTGTGCCCCCCCCCAAAGGTGGCATGTAATGTATTAGAAAACTAATAACTCCCTAATCATTAATATTTGCATGTGATGTACATACAATAAACCCACAAAGAAATGTACAGATATGTGCTGGAAATATGTTCTGAAAATGTATGTGTCGACCAGTGCCAGTTCCAGACAAAGGAATATGCTTGAATGAGTCTCCAGTGTAAATTAAGCAAGGTGTGACCAAAGACAAAGAAAAGCACATTGCCACGCAAGTTAAACAAAGCCATCAGGAGAGACAGTGGGGACAGATAATCACTTTATAACCTTGACAGGGGTTGGAAACCGTACCCTCAGGAAGCCTTCCTGAGGAATTGTGTGCCTCTAATTTTTGTTCAGCTGCCCTCCTTCTGGAGAGATTTTCAATACACATCTCTTGGCAACCTCCACTGAAAGTCCTTAGAGATAGCCCCAGTCATAGAAACAGTGCGGCTGCCAGCTGTATTTCTTACTATTTAAAGTGTTTGGGTTTTGTGGGGTGGTTTTATAAAGTTACAGGAAAAAAAAAAAAACTTGTTTTCCTTTAAATTGGGCAATAGCTAGGAGAAGAGCTATTAGTGCAAACAAGCTCTGAGCACATTTCCAAGCAAACATGAATAACCAGGGGGCTAGCACTGAACCGTCAGACAAATATGCTCCTGATGCCAAGTGGTGTTTAATACACTTTTGACCCTTGAGATTTTAAGTTGAATGTGGTAACATACAGAAAAAGCATTGAGGATTCCAAGTGTCCTGCATGGTTCACATTAAGTTTTAATTCTGTGCAACTCACCGAGACTATAACCCCACATTTTCAATATAGGGCCAAATCCTAGATCCTGTTCAGGCTGTTGTAAGTCCTATATAGTCAAGTAAAAAGGCTCTGCAAACCACAGTGTAGATGGGCACGAAGTACAAGGCAGGAAGGAAATTTGCAAGTTAGTGCCCTTCAGCAATATCCTCAAGCTGCTGCCAGGCTGGAGAGACATATTTGAAACAATGCACCAGATTCTCTGTTGTGTGCTGGCTCCTTTGTGCTGAATGGATGGAGCTAGTAAGCAGCCAGATGTGGCAAACAGAGTTCCTCCGGTGTGGGATGTGGAGCCAGCATATCTAATCCATCTCCTGGCACAGGGGTATATTTAGTTGGTGTACAATTAAGGACCATAGCAATCTGGCATAAAATGGTTGCTGGACCTATAACATGGCTTCAGGCAGACCTTCCAAGGAGAACTATCTGCCTGATGGTGAGATGCTCAGTGAAGCAGAGAATCTGTCTAACTTGAAAATAAATCCCTATCTTGGCAGGTGATGTAGGCAGGATGTGCAGGGAAGCATAACTGGTGGCATGGGGAGGGAGTGGGTTTGTCGACCCAGATTCCATTTGCATCTGCCAGCTCCATTTGAGAGCAGTCAGCCAGAAGATCCACAGTGAGGCAATGCAGCTAGGGTGACCAGATGTCCCGATTTTATAGGGACAGTCCCGATTTTTGGGTCTCTCTTATATAGGCTCCTATTACCCCCCACCCCATCTCAATTTCACACTTGTGGTCTGGTCACCTTAGATGCAGCATGTATATAAACTGGGAAAAATGAAACCAACTTCTGTAGAGTTCTCTGAGGCCATTAGCTGAGAGGTGCAAGATCAGTGCAAAATACTATAATTAGGGCTGTCAAGCGATTAAAAAACTTAATTGCGATTAATTGCAGTTTTAATTGCACTGTTAAATAATAGACTACCCATATTAAATTTAAATATTTTTAAATATTTTTGGATGTTTTCCATATTTTCAAATATATTGATTTCAATTACAACACAGAATACGAAGTGTTCAATGCTCACTTTGTAATAAAAATAAATATTTGCACTGTAAAAAAGATATAGTATTTTTCAATTCACCTCATACAAGTACGGTACTGCAATCTCTATCATGAAAGTTGAACTTACAAATGTAAAAATAATAATTTTACATGACTCCCTTCAGCTGAGTGAGCCCTTGTTTGCAAGGGAGGGTGGATTTTACCTTGACTTGGCATGCAGCGGGGCCGGGGGAGGAGGGAGGGGAAAGGCTGATGCAGGGAGTGTGGGATTGCCAGGCTGCTATCCTCTATGACAGCGTTTGTCAAACTTTTTGTGCTGGCAATCCCATTTGGACATATATATTTTTTACCCTCCTCACTAGAAAAAATTGTGGCCCCCTACCGTCAACCCCCCCCTCGGGGCACAGGGCTTTCCCACCTCAGGGTGCGGGGCTCTGGGTTTCAGTCCCTCTTGGAAGCAGGGCTCCAGCTCAGCTTGGGGCTTTGGCCCCCTCCACTGCTCCGAAGCTGTGGGCTGGAGTTTCAACCCTCCCCCAACCCTGGCTGTCCCCCACAAGCTGTGGGCTGGGGCTTCAGCCCCACTCCTGCTGCGGATGTTTCCCTCCCCACCCAGAGGGATCTGATTAACACTTTAATTTTGTTTTCAGTTAATTGTAGGTGTTAAATTATAATTAGCGTTGTCAATTGCAATTACTATAATAAAAAAAGTAATTCTGTGGACCCTTTTTAGGCAACAGGGAAGAATATGACCTGATACATGTTTACTTACCTCATTGTCCCGATGATTAATGTCACTTAGATGCGATTGCTGCAGCAGCACCGCTAGAAGCCTGTGGAAGCAAAGATATATTTAATATGCTACATTGACGGCTAAAACTGGATGAGAGGTTTTTAGAGAAACAGAACCCACGATCGAAAGCAAAATTAACAGCAGTGATGGATGTGAACCAGAATCCCAGATCTGGTATGTGTTCATGTTTGAAAGCCAAACCCAGATCCACTTCTGAAGTTTATGGCTTACTCTATTTGTAACTAAAACCAGAACACAAACTCAACACTTGGATCAGAGGTCACCTGTATGTAAATGCAAAAGCAGACACAATCAGGAATAATTCCAGTGTTAGTTTCCAAAATAATAAATGGGCATTAATATATCAGAATGTGCAGTGACTACCTGAGCAATTTTTTTATAGCCTAGAAATCAACAGAACTATTCGTTGTGATCCTTTTAAAGTGTTAAACAGAAATGCAAATTACCTTCCTATTATACTTTTGTATTCTTGGATTAAGAAGCCCCTGTATGCATGCACACACAGAGACAGGGTTAGATTACGGCTCACAGTCTCTCTGTTGGGAGTAAGGCAATTATGCCATAAACTGGAATTTATGGAGAAATACATCTGTTTACTCTTGTAGAGAAGTAGAGTATAAACACTGCCATGTTGTGGCGGGAACAGTTAGAACTATTACACATGAGATGTTGGTTTTTCATGGTATTGAGCCCTGAAATTGACAAGACAGCTGACGTAAGTAATGCAGTGTCCACACAGACGCTGCATCACCTTAGCTACACTGACATAAGCCCTATGCCTATCATGGAGGTGGAGTTATGTCAGTGTATTAGGGCACTTACAACAGCTGTGTCCCACCATTGTATGTTCACGGACATAGTCAGGTCAAAGTAAGCTGCCTTACGTTGACTTAGCTGTGTAATCGAGACCAGGCCTTAGGTGAAACAATGGTTTTATAACCTGAAAGATTTTGCCCCAGGATTTTCATAATCCCCCTTCAAACTACTGCAGTTAACTCTGAAAATGGTTTGGTCACTGGATTTGGAGCAGGCACATTATGTTTTATAGAAGTGCGCTGAGCATTGGTTAAAGTGTGGAGATGGTAGGGATATCCAGACCATCTTGTCACATCCGCCTAGCAGGATCAGCCAACATAGCCCCTTATGCCTGTTTAGAGTCCATGTGACACTGGCAGATGTAAGGGGCTGAGCTAGCAGAACCCCACTATCAGATTGGGACCATAATACTCACCCAAGGCATGGTGGGTTATGTGGAAGTACTTGCTCCCCCTTCAAACAAAATACAAGAGAAAGGCTCTTCTCTCCTTTGAAATCTTTTACTCTGTTTCTTAGCTGGACAATCCTGAATTCAGGTAAAGCTCAGGTGGATGTATTATTAAACTTTAACAGTATCAGCTTGCAAAAATATAGCAAACTGTGACCCAGCATCATCCCATTCCTGTCTCTTTTCTAGCCACAAACCATCTAGAGACCTTCTTCTAGTCAAACACCTTGTACAATTTATTCACAGTCTTCTCCTCCCCACCCTTATAAATGTTTTCAGGTCTATATTTACAATAGCATACACCCCTCCACTCACTCAATCCCAGACTCAGCCCCTAAAAGGCCCATCAGTCTCTTCCTTCCCCCTGTGCACGTCCTTCCTGTGCCTTTTCTACCTCTTGGGTAATGGGCTAATTAGCCTTTGGGGCTCTTCTCAGCCCATCCCAGTCTATCAATTACTAGGCACAGCTTTTCCTCTCAGGTTTACACCATGGCAATGTAATTGGTGATCCAGTGATCACAGAGCTGGTACAGATACAGTTGCCCAGAGCTCTGCCACACAAACCTATAATGAAATGCAGCCCTGCCATTTATTTAGCTGTTTGTGCATGAAGCCTGAAAAAAATCATTCTGCAGTCATGGATTGTGAGCTATTAGACAGTACAACTGTTTAAAGAAGCTGCATTCGAAACTGCTTAGTGATCATTTGCAGAAGTTACAATTCGCCAAGGAGGCAAAAAAATGATTTGCTCTGAAGTGACATACCAACGTGGCAGAACCAGGGTGTAACACACCCAGATTCTTTTCTAACCAGATACTCTCTTAAAAGTATTAAATCAATTAAAAAATATTATTTGGCCAATGGCACACCAGGGCCTGGACTCAGACTGGTATGATCACTAAAAAGCAAACGGGTGTTACAGCCCTCTTCTGAGGCATGCAGCCAATTGCATAGTCAGGCCATGTTATAATGGACTTAAAAGTCAGGTCATTTTGAGATTGCTGCAGGCCTGAATCTTACGTGTTCTGGGCCTTAAAGGGCGTAGATTTTTTTTGCTGGGAAGTAGAGGAAACATTTTTGTGGTAAACTGATATAATTAATAAAACCCCAGACTGACAGCTCAGAAGTTTGGTATATTAAAATAAGTCCAGGTGGAAATGGATTAGTGGGTAGAAGGAAGGAGAGATGATCAAAAGGTGCTTGGTAAATTCATCTATCACATGGCTCTGTAATTTGTTACATAGTTTCACAAATTAACATGGGATGTAATCAATTAAATTAGTGTGTGTGTGTACATATACATACACATACAACCCCCCACAACGCTGAAAGTCTGCAACCACACAGATGAGCTCTGCCAATTTTAACTAAACATGTAGCATGTGGAGAGTCAGCAGGGTCCATTTATCCCATTTCTCACTGAAGGCTCAGCTACTCTATGAAACATGTATTGAAGTTTAAAAACTTGCCAGCCCTTGTGCCTGAAGTGTTTAAATGGACTGATTACAGCCTGTCGATTTCAGCGTGGTCTGTGTGCTGCTAGCTATTCCTCCAGCGCATTGATTTATAGCAATGGGCTGCCAGTTCTTAAACTCAGGTGAGGAAGCACTTCACAATTAGCCACCGCATTTCGTCTTCCTTTCAAATCTAAATAGTTGGCAGAGAGCAAAAATTAGTCCAATGGAAAAATCTCACTAATGGGTATGGCACTCCAGCTGCGCCTTCTGGTAACAGGGCAATCATATCCAGAACTAATTTTGTTGACTTGGGCTAATAAGACAGATGAAAAAGAGCTGAGCAGCGGGCACACTGCTGTGTGGAGCAAAGGTCTGCTTGTTTCCATGGTGACTGTGGAAAAAACTTCAGGGAACTCTGTGTGCTGCTGTTGTTAAAGTAAATTACTGTTTCCTTTCTAATATCAGCATGTTCAGTGTGGCACAAACATAGCCTTTTCTCTTCAGAGGCTTTGTGTAATGATAATGCACTCTTGCTCTGAAACCCTCCAACTGTACCATCAGAGTGATGCATGAAAAACAATGATGAAGGTGCAAAATTAATACATAAGGAGACATTATAGACTGTCACAATACTCACCTGTAACTTGAACATCAAGTTACAGCTTTGCTGCATCAGATGTGTCAAACTGCCACTCTAAGTTCTATACGTTTCTTGCAACTTACATTTTTAACCAGCCTTTTTCAGCTACTCGTAAATGATTTACTCAGGAGAGATTTTGCATGAATTTAATCAACTTATATAAATCAGGACTTGAAAAGCTTTAAGAAGCATTCCTATTCACAAAGGAAACTATGATACAAATAGCACATTGGCTTGTGACTTGTTTTGGTGAACTGCTCTTCAGACTTTTTGATACATCTTTAATAACAGCTGTCAAAAATCAACTGTACTACATCTTACCTGATCCTTTAGAGCTACTTTCCATAGGATGGACCAAATCTTAACAGAGTTTGTCTTTTGAACAACTTTCCTCCCATTCCTAAACCCATAGGTTGCCTCCCCTCCCAATAATAAACTATTATATTCAAAACAATAATATAAATCATCATATTATATAACAGAGACATGTTCTATGACTGTGGCTCCAAGGCACTATAATAATACTAATGAATTATTATAATAATAATAATAATAATAATACAAATATTTACTATTTAATGCCACTAACATTATCCATGTAATATTATGGTAGCTGTAGCAATTACTTGCACGAGAAAGTAACGTTAAGAAAGTATTTAATAAATTTTTAGCTCTCTTTTAATGCAGCTCTAAACAAGGAGGAGCCAGAACCATGTGACCAGCTATTTCTCCATGAACCACGAGCAAGAGTCACATTTTGGGAACCTCTGCTTTAGCATATAGCCTATAACATTTAATTTATATAATAAGCAGTGGCAATAGAGTGCAGGGCAACTGGTTTTGTGGCTCCTGCTGGGAGACCTGCATTTGTAAATAATGCTGAAGCCTGAGTTAAAGAAGAACACCCTGAACACTGGCACCAAGTTAGCTAGGGAAAATACAACATTGAACTATCATGGAAACAAACGTCCTGTGGTATTTCTAGTATAGAGGACAGCTTGATCACGTTGGTGGTGATTGTTCACTGTGAGAAATCTGGAGTTTCAGACTCCATTCTGAATTCCATTGCTTTTGTGAGGTTTAAATCAGATTCTTCAACCTGCCTGAACACGTTCCTGTAAAACAAGTGCAGCAGAAAGAGCCATAGACTTAGGTCTAAAGTCCCAATAGCTTCTTCATTTAAATATATGATAATCACCAGATGAAACAGCAAATCACATGGGTAATTGCCACAGCTAGCTTGCCTGCCCTACGCTGCCTCCAATCAGTCAATCTCCATGTTCTTTTGGTGACTATGTACCGGACTGAGAAGATGTTTTACTCAAATAAGCAAACGCCCTTTTAACATGTGGGCTTACCTCACATCAGGCTCTGCGGTAGCAGCGTGCAGTGGCAGTCTTCCATTTTTATCAGGTATGTTCTGCTTGGCACCATTTCGGAGCAGACTGACACAGCCTTCAAGCCACCCCTAAGAAAGAAAGGTCAAAAAGGAAGGTCAAAAAGGAGCGGAGAAGATTTGGGGCCAGATCCTCAGCTGGTGTAATTCTGCTTACACCAGCTGAGGATCTGTTCGTTGGTTTCAGAAAAACATCTAGTTAGAGCTTCAAAGATGGTTCACGTTTGGTTCAAATCCTGGACTGGTTCATCCATCCACTTCTGTAATTGAACTTTTTAGTTCCACTGCATTTTGGCCTTTCTTTGGCTGTGGTGGGGCTGGAGGGCTGTTTTAAGATTTGCAGTAGACATGGCACTGAAAATTGCTGTTGTACTAGAAAGTCTTAAGTATGTTCCTGCATATGGATTTTAATTAAATGAGAGTCAGCCAAGAGCCTGAGCATTTGATCTGATTTTCTTTATAAGAGGTTACTACAGGTAGTAAATTGATATGAAAAATCTGAGAATTGGAGTTATTTTAGGTTTTGCTTTCAGCTGTTCGTTCTTGTTTTAGCAAGTGGCTTTTTACAGAGTTCAAATAGAAGTGTTATACTGAAAATGGCACCTTCATTTATGGGGATTGGTCACTGACGGGAGTAAAATGCAGCACTGTCACCTTCAAAAACAAACCAAAGCAGATGAGCACTCTGGTTCTCACTGAGCAAAGTATTTTGGCATGTGCTTGAGTCCCAAGGAAGTCAAACGTGTGCTTAAGTGCTTTCCTCAAACTGGGGCCTCTGCAAGGTCACTCCCCTGCAGCTCAAGTCATCTGCCTGCCAAGCATGACTAGTATTTACTGGGAAGAGGTGGAATGAGGGAATTAAAGTACCTTTGTGTTGCTCACTGATCAAAGTTTTGTTGCAGAGAAGTTTGCAAACTTGGCTAAATCCAGCACTAAGTTGCATTCATGCACACATGCAATCCCATTGAAATCAATCCTCTGGGCAGACGTCACACCCAGATTCTCACGAGGCCTCACACTACTTACAGCATAGAAACCACCACTCACTAATTTAAATCACATGTAGCATGCTCATGGATCTGAAATTTCCCCATGCATCCAAGGCTCTTACTCTCGTTGTCTCTTTAACGCTAACCAAGGGAGTACATTACAATGATTCACTCTCCCTATCCCAGGCACCTGATTAAATTGCAAAGAATCGTGAGCCTAATCCTTAGGACATCCCTGAGGATTTTAGCCTATGTAAATTTTGTGGCACTGGTCACTCTATAATGTAATTAACCATTTGGGGTGGGAAAACAAATGCTCATCCTATCTTATGCCTTCTGTTTAGCTTTAGAGACCGTAAGGATAAGAATTTCAGCTTAAACTTGGGAATTCTGAAGCCATGAGGCCAGCCTAAGTGTCTGGAATGTTTTCCAGTAATTTATTTTTTCAACAGATGTTTTTTCCCCCTTCAGGAAAAGAGGAAGGGAAAACACAGCATGTTACTAATCATAGGATTTTTTGAAAATATCTAGCAAAGGAAATATCTGTTCTTGAAAGCGACATGCATATTTAATATGTTTGAATGGATTGCCCATTCTGCTACTTTTGACACATTTTCTAGCTGAAAATGTCACAGTTAAGCTGAAGCACTGTTCTTTGCACAGTTCCCTAGGACCACACAAGTCTTGTACTTATTCTCCCCTTGCTGTGATTCAAAATTAGTCTTTATTACTTCACCCTCTTGCCCTCCCAAAGTGCTCTCTGTAACAGACAGAAGTCTTGGTACCAGATAGGTTGCAAGAGATAAACTGGTGCGTCCACAGGCATCTTGAGTATTAATATTTGCTCCCATCTTCAACAGCAATTTCACTGTATCGACTTGGCGTCCCGAAACAGCATGCATCAAGGGGGTACAACCTTGGGGGGAAATAGATACTAATTAATTAATTAAATAGTTAATAATTCTTTTACAATCCTTCGTTTGTTAAAGCCATAAGGAGGAGATAGTCTTTTGTTTGCTAAATAAACCACTGGTACATTAACAAACCTGCTCTTCTACCAACTGTTTAGCAACTGTACCGGAGGCACAAAGGAATTCCTATTCAAGCTAGCTGATCATCCACTTTTTAAAAAAATGTGCCTTAATTAACAAAAGGCTTGCCTAGTTAGCATTTGGGTGGGAAAATTCTTTTTACATTGACGAGCCTTCTATGTGAGTCAGGCCTCATGTAACAATTTTGAAGCTGATATTCCTCAAAATGCACACAAGCCCAGGCCTGGGAGATGCTCTTCTCCAACTTCAGTTTCACCCTACCTGTGTGTGCCTAGAGGGTTTATGAAAATAGGCACACACTCTGAGGGCACAAATCAGCATGCACCTACAGATGATACTGCATGTACGCAATTGCTTCTTTAAAAATTGGCCTTCAGTCTAGAATATTTTGCCTTCCTCCACCTTTGGAAGTTAAGTTCTCTAGTAGTTACTCTATATTAGCTGTCTCCAAGGCTGGAAAGAGCAGCATAAGCAGCATCCAAACTAATACTTGATTTTCCTCAAGAATTTCATCACTGCATTTAAATTGTTTCTTCTCTTATGTCTTCTTAATAATTAACTACTGACTAACAGCAATATGCTTTTCTCCAACAGGTAATGGAGTGATTTAAAATGATTAAACTGATACATTGAACACTAGCAACTATAGTTTGAAAAGTGCTGTATATTTGTGCAATTTAAGGGCCTTATTCTCATGTGAGTAGTTTCACTGAACTCTGTGGCACTACATGGGTGAATAAGTACCATTCAACATGAGAAAGCATTGCAAAATCTGGCCCTACATTTTGTCTTGAAGCAGGTTGTGATGGGTCCCTTCTAGGGTGCCATATGGAACTTGGGTACAGCTGAGCCCTCTGTTTTACCAGTCTGGGTTCCCTCTCACACTGTGACATTGTGACAAGCTACAAAGCCCTCCAAGCTTGTGCTCACACCAACATCCACAGGCAGGTGCCACACGCAGCTGTGTTCATGAATGCTCTGCCAGCCACTGCATGAACCAACAATAGAAAGGCTCAAGCCAAAATATCTCCAGCTCCCCAGTCTAGGACCCCAGAGCTGTAGCATCCTGCCCTGGTCAAAGCTTGACCAGTATGAATTTATTACACAGTGCACCCTTCCCTCGATGTGAAGAGGACGATGCACAAGCCCTTGTTAACTGAGCTGAGATTTTTCCACAAACACTTCACTCAAAAACATACTGGTTAACATAAAACTTAAAAAGGGTTTATTAATTATAGAAAGGTAGATTTTAAGTGATTATAAGTGATAGCAAACAGATCAAAGCAGATTACCATAAGAAATAAAACAAAACTGCAATCTAAGCCTAATGTACTAGTTAGGATTTGAATCACACAGTGTCTCACCCAGTTAGACAGTACAAGCAGGTTAGCTTTTGCATACACAGGCAGGCTTCCTTCTTTCCTGCCTGGGACCAGTACTTCCCCTCTCCCCCACTTTCAGGTGTTGTGTTGTAGGGAGAGTGAGATCCAGTTATGACAATACTTCTCCCTTTTATATCTCTTCCAACTTGCTGGAAAGCTCTTTTGCTGTGACCTGGGTCAAAGAGTTCCCATTGTGTAGGGCTATCTCTGAGAGGTTTCTATTGTACATAATTTCTGGGGTAATCCTGGTGCTTGTGTGCATTTCCTCAATAAGCCATCAACATTGTTTGGCCTTTTTATTGTTGTACCTGAACGGCTGCTTGTGGGTGTTCTCAACCTCACAACATGTTTCAGTAGCACATACAGAGCCAAACTTCATAACGTCACATACAGTGATAGCACGTACAATCCAATGATATATTAATGTCTCGCAGTTCAAGACTTTTAGAATAATACCTCAAAAGGCATACTTTGTATAAAACATATCATAATTATATGACAGTGGTGAATATGGGGGTGCCAGGGTGTCACACAGATGATCTCAGTTACATCAGTGTGTGTATATAAGTATCACTGAGTTACTTTGGAATTGAAACGTAATGGTTAGTCTACTTCAGGCAGTTAGACACCCTGCCTTTATTCTTCTGGTTTAGGAGCTGGAAGGTCAAAAGGCTCTCGTCTTGACTTTACTGAGATCCAGGGAACTATCTGAAGATAACACAAAGATCCCAATTTCTGAATCCAGATTTTACAACCAGTTTTCAGAAACAGACAGAGATATCTGCAGGGTGGTTTTTGTTTGTTTGTTTCTTTTTAAATGATTGAATCCTGCACTTTTCATGCTAATCCTGGGAAAATGCTGTGGTAAAAACTAGACTCTTGATTGAACACAAAATACTTCAAGGGACAAGCTTTCAAAGATCTCTGGTTCATATTCACTTGGAAAATACATGCCTGAAAAGACAACCAAGTAACTGCATGCACTCAGATGGCACCCTGTCAGGCATGGCATGAGAACCTGAATAGAAAAAAATATGCAGCTTCAAGCATAAAACAGGTAACTGATTATACATGCAATTGCTCTTTTGGCAAGAAACTGCATATGTTACCGTTTTATTAATTGTCTGTTTGTACCTGTGCCCTTATTCAGCAAGCACAAATAACTGCTGGTGTCCACTTTTTAAAATTTGGCCAAATGAGTCTTTAAGATGTCCAAAAATATATATAATTTGGATTTGACTAGAATAAATTATTTCTCCATCCTCCCCTGAAATTTCAGCAACTTTCCAGCATTTCTCTTTCTATGACAAACAATATAAATTCATGGCAGACAACTTTGTGTCTCATGTCCACTGTCTGATACATGGGATATTCTTATTTATATGTAAATGAATAAACTTGTAAGGAGGAAGAAAATATTATTTTGTGGCCATCCAAAATGCATATTCCCCATGGATATCCCCCCCAAAATACCAATTTCCCATTCTATTGCTCATAAAGGGGAGAACTTGATATAATTCTACTTATGATGTTTCACTAATTTTTAAAGTCAATATTAAAAATGGAAAAAAGATGATAGCTCAGTCACATATTGTATTGATTAACTCGTTGGGAACAATCTAAACCCTCTAAGTTTTACCCTCGCTGTCGCAGCATTCTAATATTGAAGGGTCTTCAAGAATCACTGCAGTCAGTGTGTTGACGTCACCATTAGCAGCTGTTTGGTAAACCACAGTGAGGTCGATTTCTTCTGCTGAATCACCTAGAGACAGATACATTTAAGTGGGTATGTGGGGAAACTCTACAAATGATGAATGGTAAAAATAATGCCATTTATTTTCATGAGGCTGGGTTTCATGAGACATCTAACCAAAAATAATCCAACCAACATGATGTTGCATTTGGTCATCTGAATCATGTTCTTCAGTATCAACAACCTCCTACAAGTTCTCAGTCAGAGTCACTGAGAAGTATGTACAAGCAATTTCTGAGGGGGCTAGGTTTCTGACTCAACTCATGAAGGCCATATTAATTGCACAGAATAAAGTCTGGAGTGAGAAACACTAAGTTTTAAAAAAAGAAACCCATCAATGAAGTTTTGACAAATTTCTCAAAAGATAAGCAGCCACGTATATATGTATGATACAGTGTAAGTTAAGGATACAGGTATTTTCAGTTTCTTTATTATCTCACCACAAAACATGAGGTGGAGATTATGAATTTGTTTCCTCTGAAGTATTCTGATCCTCCTCCAGGAAATATAAATGTTTGCAATTTCGATGTTGGTTTTAAAGGCAAATAGTGTTTAAAACAAGGAAGTGTAAACTGGCCGGTGAAGATCAATGAGAATTGTATAGTCCTTATTTTCTCTCTGCATTCTATAGTGCCAGGTGGTAGAAAAACGCTGATTTAAAACTGAAGTAACATATTCCGACAGGTGATCCTGATGACAGTTTGCAAGCTGAAATGGACATTGGGCCAATTTAAAATAAGCTTCCTTGAGGGGTGAAGGTGGGGTGGCTGGTGAAGAAAGCATTGGAGCCATCTCTGCCAGCATGCCATTAGTGCAGAGTTCGCTTGTACACAGGCTGTGACACTGGCTGTCTCCAGCTGCTTTAAGGCCACTTTGTACCATGGCCATGCAGAGTGGTCTTAGTTTACTGGAGAATCCAGCCAAGTACAATACTTCTGTAACTCACAGGGATGTGAGACTTAGTTGTTTGTAAAGCACCTTGAGATTCTTAGATAGAAGGCACTATAGAAATCCAGAGTATTATTTACTCTATTGCAACACTCTGCACTATTTAACTGTACTTAAAAATGAAAGAATAAAAAGTATGGATTACACAATCTAATACTGAAGAGTGAAATCCTGTTTGCTCCAAAACTTTACTTTACAGATTACCACTAGTGATGTAAAGTTACACTGGAAGGTAACCACAAGCAGGGCTTTGCACATATTAATATTTTCAAATAATAAAACCATTTGTTTGTTATATCATAAGTAACCAGCTATTGTCGTCAAACACAAACATTTTGCTTCCAGGGTTCTCTTGATTGTGCTCCATGTGTCATTTTATTCTAGCAGCTGGACTTTTAATTCTGTTTCGGAAAGGCTGGTAAATAGAGTCTACTCTTACCAGAGTGAATGGTTAGTCATTACTTTGCCTATAACTGCATTTGGATTTCATGCAACCATAAATCCTGTTTACATATTACTGCCATGCATAGATTAGAGTCCTCAAAGGGTTGTGTGCCTGTCAAGGGAAGAGTAAAAAGCAAAAAAAAACAATCATGGGTTGACTAGACAAATGATCTAATTTAGCCAAATTCAATCCTTCAGAAAAAAGTACTTTTTAAATTTATCATCAACAGCAACTCATAGAGAAGGCAAACAAAAAAGTCTCTATGGTTACTCCGGGATGACAGCTTGGTCAGAGGAAAAACCCAGGAGTCTCATTTCAGAGGAGGTTACCCTAGTTTCATTAACAGTTACAGAAGACCAAGTGCAAAGCAGTTGTTTATTAGCAATAGTTGAGTTCTTCTTCAACTACAATGAACTTCACCAGTCAAAACAGGTGAAAGTGTCTTTTCATCTAATTTACTCCTTCATTTCTGGGAATCTTATTTGTTTTCATGGTGGGATTCTTTTGGAATTTATCTATAATTTCACCAGTGGCCCTTATTCTAAAAAGCAGCTTAGTCTCACTAGACAGAGGTTGCAGTCTCTATGACATCTATTATTGAATTATGAGTACACTCTTCTGAGCCTTCTGTACCAGTGATGAGGAAAAATAATGTCCAAGTAAATTTCAATAACAGTGAAAACAAAGTAAAAAAATTCATGGTTTTAACACAGTATTTCTAGACCTATATAAGCTTAAAATTAAAAAGACTCCTAATTCATCATACCAAGATGAGATTTTCAAGTGTGTTGTAATCCAAAAGTCTAGCGACACAATTGAAAGTCTCTGAATCTGTGACATTCTCACTCCACTCCCAGAAATAATTAAAAAAGATCAGCTATCTGTACAAGAGAAAAAGTAAATGATGGATGAGCATAGTGTCTCTCTATCTCACTCACACACCCACCCACCCGCATTCATTTTGGTGAGAATGCGACCTGTTATCTGAATAAATAAAAATTATGATTAACTCCCAGATTATAATATGTTACATTTTCAAGGTTAGGCATGAGTGTCTAACATGGCATATTAGTATGTGCTTTATTCTTGCCAGCAAGTTAAAGAAGTATGGGCTGGATGAATGGACTATAAGCTGGATAGAAAGTTGACTAGATTGTCAGGCTCAAAGGGTAGTGATCAATGGCTCCATGTCTAGTTGGCAGCCGGTATCAAGTGGAGTGCCCCAAGGGTTGGTCCTGGGTCCGGTTTTGTTCAATATCTTCATTAATGATCTGGAGGATGGTGTGGATTGCATTCTCAGCAAGTTTGCAGATGACACTAAACTGGGAGGAGAGGTAGATACACTGGAGGGTAGGGATAGGATACAGAGGGACCTAGACAAATTGGAGGATTGGGCCAAAAGAAATCTGATGAGGTTCAACAAGGACAAGTGCAGAGTCCTGCACTTAGGACAGAAGAACCCCATGCACTGCTACAGATTAGGGACCGAATGGCTTGGCAACAGTTCTGCAGAAAAGGACCTAGGGGTTACGGTGGATGAGAAGCTGGATATGAGTCAACAGTGTGCCCTTGTTGCCAAGAAGGCCAATGGCATTTTGGGATGTATACGTAGGGGCATTACCAGCAGATCGAGGGACGTGATTGTTCTCTATTCAACACTGGTGAGGCCTCATCTGGAGTACTGTGTCCAGTTTTGGGCCCCACACTACAAGAAGGATGTGGAAAAATTGGAAAGAGTCCAATGGAGGGCAACAAAAATGATTAGGGGTCTGGAACACATGACTTATGAGGAGAGGCTGAGGGAACTGGGATTGTTTAGTCTGCGGAAGAGAAGAATGAGAGGGGATTTGATAGATGCTTTCAACTACCTGAAAGGGGGTTCCAAAGAGGATGGATCTAGACTGTTCTCAGTGGTAGCTGATGACAGAACAAGGAGTAATGGTCTCAAGTTGCAGTGGGGGAGGTTTAGGTTCAATAAGGATAAGTGCAGGGTCCTGCACTTAGGATGGAAGAACCCAATGCACTGCTACAGACTAGGGACCGAATGGCTAGGCAGCAGTTCTGCGGAAAAGGACCTAGGGGTGACAGTGGACGAGAAGCTGGATATGAGCCAGCAGTGTGCCCTTGTTGCCAAGAAGGCCAATGGCATTTTGGGATGTATAAGTAGGGGCATAGCGAGCAGATCGAGGGATGTGATCGTCCCCCTCTATTCGACATTGGTGAGGCCTCATCTGGAGTACTGTGTCCAGTTTTGGGCCCCACACTACAAGAAGGATGTGGATAAATTGGAGAGAGTCCAGCGAAGGGCAACAAAAATGATTAGGGGTCTGGAACACATGACTTATGAGGAGAGGCTGAGGGAACTGGGATTGTTTAGTCTGCAGAAGAGAAGAATGAGGGGGGATTTGATAGCTGCTTTCAACTACCTGAGAGGTAGTTCCAGGGAGGATGGTTCTAGACTATTCTCAGTGGTGGAAGAGGACAGGACAAGGAGTAATGGTCTCAAGTTGCAGTGGGGGAGGTTTAGGTTCGATATTAGGAAAAACTTTTTCACTCGGAGGGTGCTGAAACACTGGAATGCATTGCCTAGGGAGGTGGTGGAATCTCCTTCCTTAGAAGTTTTTAAGGTCAGGCTTGACAAAGCCCTGGCTGGGATGATTTAATTGGGTATGGGTCCTGCTTTTGAGCAGGGGGTTGGACTAGATGACCTCCTGAGGTCCCTTCCAACCCTGATATTCTATGATTCTATATGGTGATCAGTTGCATCCTGAGCACTTCAGCCAGATCCACCAACCAGACACCTGCGAAAGAATTCTCAGTAGTAACTCAGAGCCCTCCCCACCTTCAGACATTGGAGGTATTTGCTAAGAGCAGTTGTTGATGGACAATATGCCATTGTGGGCAATCTCATTGTACCATCGCCTCCAGAAACTTGTAAAGCTCAGTCTCTGCATCTGTCCCTGTGTGAGTTAATCTTTCTTAAACATAGGAGACCAGAATTGCACACAGTATTCCCGATGAGATTTCACCAGCGCCTCATATAATGATAATAATACTTCTAGATCTCTACTGGAAGTACCTTGCCAGATGCATCCTAGTGTTGCATTAGCCTTTTTCACAGTCACATCACATTGGCAACTCATAGTAATCCTGTCATTGACCAATACATCCAGGTCTTTCTCCTTTTCAGTCACTTCCAACTGATACATCCCCAGTTTATAGCAAAAATTCTTGTTGTTGATTCCTTGTACCTGCAGGGATCAGGTGTCACTAGCCCTGTGGCAGCTTCTTCAGCCCTACTCCTATGAACCTACTCTCTCATTCCCCAGCTGGGAGTGCTGCAGCTGTCCCCAGGCAAGAGCCATTCAACAGCATGGTGCCCTCACAGTATTAACCGGTGGTGTCTTCTCTCCCCCACCAGGTCCTCAGTCTTCCCTGCACCTTGTGCCTGCAGGGTTCAGGTGTCATTCGCCCTGAGGCCATGCAGGGAGCCCTCTGCAGCTCCGCTGTCATGGCCCTGCTCACTCATTCACCAGCTAGGAGTATGGGCAAGAAAAGTTCAGCAGGGGATGATCTTCCCAATAGCCGGGAGTTTGTCCTCCTTGCAGTCCTGGCA